ACTTTTGGGGTTTAGGTAGGGTTCAAGCTCCTCAGGGTTTACGGTTTAGGTCTTCGTTGAAAACTGCTCAGGGTACAGGGCGAATCCCTTCGCCGGAACAACAAAAACAGAAACCCCTCAGCCCAGTACTAGTGAACCTCCCCAATATGGTACCAGAATATTTCAAGAGGAATACAGGCTGCGGGGGGGGGGGCGGGTGGGGTGAGGATTAATCAGTGGGTTTTGCTCAACCCAGGCCCCAAAACTGCGGACCCCATGTCCCCTTATTGGATATTTTCCTAACACTGGTATTGCCAATGATATGCATGGAACATCAGGTGGGCAAGAACATGAACAATGAAATGGCAACTGCAATGATATGGGGAGATAGGTTTTTTCTGGCGGCTATGCAGGATATCACCTTGTCACAATTTGGGCGGTTCCCTACCTAGCTCCTCAAACTCCCAGGCATAATCGTAGCGCAGCTTCTCGTTTGCAAAAGCTGTCTCAATATGCCGGTAGTCGACAGTGTTGATGTCCATCACAACTTTGCTGCCATCCTCATAGCAGTTCACCATGTGGTAAAACCAGAATGCATCCGACGTAAACGTTTTGATAAAATTTCCGGATGCTTTCTCGTATACCCAAAGCATGTTGTTCTTTTCCGGGTGCCATTCCATAGCCTTCAGGATGTTAGTGTATCGGAGGATGCCACCAATGTTGTATTGAAATGCGGTGCCCACAAAAACCAAATAATTCTTTGTGTTGGCGAAAGTGTGCATGTAGCTTACATGCGTTGCCCCTGGAACCTTCACAGTGGCCATCCACTCACGTTCCAGGCTGCTGCCGACACCTTTGTCGGGCTGCGTCATGTCAACCCGCCAGACCGCCAAGTCGTTCTCAAAGCCATCGATAAGTAGGTAGTTGTAGCCGTACACATACTTGTCACCGAGTGTGTTGCCAACGTGAGCACATGTGACGACGTCTATACCCAGGATGGGCAGCTGAGAGATCGCTGGCTTGTTCTTCTCAACGAGCTGAAGGCCACCGACATAGTCCAGATTGTCCTGTGCCTCATTGAAACCCTTCATGTCAGACACCCCAAACATGCGACCTGAAGTTGTCAGCTGCAAAATTGCAACATTTAGGTTGTCGTTGGTCTTGAAAGGGTGGGTCAGCGTATCGATTTCCTCTGCTTTTGTGAAAGGCGGCTCGGTGCCATTGAAAGTGCGGTACGTCGGCTTAGCCTTCCTTAGTCTGGGTTGCTGTTAAGGAACTTAAATTAAGGGATTATCCCCCTATAATGGAGAATCAAATGGAAAAGAAAATGGAAAATGAAATGGAAACTGGGGGGATATAGGGATTTAAGGAACTTAAATTAAGTTACTATATTTGGGAAACCCTATTATTTACTATATATACCCATTATGGTAACCCTAAACCCTAAACCCTAAGCCCATTATGGTAACCTAATTTAAGTTCCTTAACAGCAACCCAGTAGTTGTCTACTATCGAGGGTGTGTCCCAATGGAGGGGTGGATTGCTGTGGTCATCATACGCTTAGAGTTATAACTATACTTCCTAAATCCCGCTGAACCCTAAACCTCAACCCTAAACTATACTTCCTAAATCCCCCTGACCCTGTCAGCAAGGCTAAGACTTTTTGATCTATGTTGGGCTGCATCCTACCCCCACAAGGTCATAAGGCTTACAGCCCCCCACAAAGTAGATAGAACCAAGAAATCCATATGAAAATCCCCGATATCATAATAAGGTCCCCATAATATACCCCATATTCTATCTACTAAGCCCTAAACCCCCCAGCCATATAAACTTACCATTGCCTGGGGTTCTCGCATTTCCTTACTCTCCAAATTTCACAAACCAAAATGACAAACCCCCCAAACCCTAAGTAATGGTAATAAACCCTGAACCCTAAACCCACTACTAAGGGCGCGTATACCTAATGGACAGGTAGGCTTCTGGGCATCGTGCCAGTACTTTGTCTGCTGAACCTTACTCCACAGTCGCACGGTGCCGTTGCGGACCTCCATGTTGGAGTAGGGTTTAGGGTTGAGGGTTTAGGATTTACGGCGGGTTTAGGGTTGAGGGTTTAGGATGTAGGATATAGGTTTAGCGTTTGCGGACCTCCACTTTGGAGTAGTAGGACATGACATCAGCAAGGTGGTTGATGGAGAAACAGTCCCTATCAGCCGGACAGTTCTCAAACTTGCCAAAGCCATTGTTGTACTTCGTTCCCTGCAGCCATGTCGGAAAGGCACCTGACGTGACCTGCATCTCGATGCCCTCCACATCCTCCTTCACCGTTTCGAACATCAAGTGCTGAGAGTTTGGAAAGGCTGATGGAATGGGCGTCACATGCGCGTAGACAGATGTGAACAACGTGCAAAAAATCCCGCAACGCATGCAGCGCATGGCAGCAAAATTCAATGGAATTACTTCAAACCGGTCTGGCAAAAGCACTGAAAACCAAGTGAGGCCGATTAAACGTGCAAGATCTGTGCGACAACGTCCCACATGTTCTGGCAGATGTGGCATACTTCTGGGCATACTCCTTAAAACCAACTTATGACAGGCTGTGTTCATTCTCAAGCTTCACATAGTAGTTTCCATTCTATTTTCCATTATCCCAATATTACCCCATTAAAACCCCAATATGCTATAGTAGTTTCAAATACATTTTCCATTATTGTAACCCCTATATACTGAAGTACGAGTCCATAACTACACTTCTCTGGCTTATGCCTGGGACTGCAATAGCAGCTGCCGAAACAGGTTCGTGGGCATGGGCCTCCATGAGGGTCTGAGGATAAGGCTTTAGGGTGTTACTGGGAAGTTGGGGTTCCCTGAGGCTGCAAGCCGTTTGAGGGCCCAAATACCATGAATGTTCTAGTATTCGGGCCTCAAAACCCTAAATCCCTAAAACCCTAAAGCCTTATGATTTGAGTCCTTGGGCGCTTAGGGGTTTAGGCCGGGCTCAAACCCCAGGGGGCATACGGCCAGGGAAACGGGGAAATTGAGGGGATCTAACTTACCATGGTTGCTGAAATCCCTCGGGATAGTCAGTCACCCTCTACTATACTTAGGGTTTAGGGTTTAGGGTTTTGGGTTATATACAATACCCAATACGATGGAAATATCACGAAACGCTCCGGCTATAACCTCGAAAGCGCCCCAGAAGGTGCTTCCACAACAATAGGCTACCCCAAAATTGAGCATTCAAGACAAGAGCTGTCAAGTCGAAACAGGCACGGAATGACCCATGGATTGCGTTGACGGTCTCTACGACATGGAAACCCCGAGAATTCAACAAAAAAAATATACACTTATAACACCTATAACAAAATCCCGGCTCATAGCCTCATAGGATTGCAGGGCGATGTACAGCTAAGGATGTTTCGCAAATGTGGGGATACACTTTCAAGTACCCTAAACCCTAAACCCTAAACCCTGGTCAAGGCGCAGGGCTTATACATTGCAGGTTTGACCCCAACATAGACCCCCCAAAATCCTATGATCCATACTATGGGGAGCCCAAAGAGGTACCCCTAAGCATGGGAAACCCCATGTATCTCAAGATTGAGGATTTCAGAGTTTAGCGTTCAGGCCTCAGAGGTTTCATGGCTTAGGTTTCGGGGGATTGTGCAAGTGTGAGAACCATAAGCCTGCATCATGGGCCCTAACGCTCCCTCCATAGGGGTTTAGGGTTTGAAGTTTAGGGCTTAGAGTTTAGGGTTTAGGGTTTCAAGTGTAGGGTTTAAGGTTTTTCTTCCAATTCCCCCCCACTACAATACCATAATGTACTGGGGTGAATACTTCTTTTTTTTTAAAGGGGTGGGGTTGGGGGGTTTAGTGCTAGACAGGAGGGGACGAATCGGGGCTCCCACGCGGAACGTTTTTGCGCAGGGGACTGCCCCAAAACCCCCTCTAAGGCGTCCAATTCTACTCTGGTCCATGTAGCTTACTTGATTTGGCTTGTAGACATGTAGAGTGTACACACTACACTCCTAAACCCTATATCCTAAACCTTAAACTCCAATTCGGGGTGTCATCTATTGCCCGAAAAGATCGGCGTAATGACCTGGCTCAGGCAACGACAGCCATCACTCCACAACTAAGGCGCTCATTGCAAGGCCTGGGACGGATGGTTTAGGTTTATGGTTTAGGGGTGTAGCATGATAGGATTCTCATACTGGTTTTGATTAACCCTACTTCGGGGTGCTTACATATAACTTACCAGCATTGAGAATGCCACTTAGGAGTACGAAATCATTTCAATGTGTCATTCTTCATTGCATACAAGGCAGAGAAGGATATCGAGGGGTACATTATGCCAGCCATTCCTCTCTTGAGGCTCGAAGTTCAGCATGTCATACATGAGGCCATTCCCCCGTACAGGAAATGTTACCACAATGGGTAGTAGGAGCTATAATGGCCCCTTTAAGATGGCCCTTTCGGACAGTTACTGTAAGGGGGAATGACCCAAGTCATACAGCCTTTACACGACACAAGCAAGATTTGGTAGTTTCCCTAAATTGCCCTAAATAAGGGGACCCAATATAGACCCTCAAATACTGTTGCCCTTAAGATAGGGACCCCCATATAAAGGGTACTTTTAGTTTTGGGAATTTTGGGAAATCCTCATTTGCACTTCCCGAGGCTTCACACCAGACAAACATCAGGAAGCCTTTTTAGCGCAGAAACTCATCTGCGCGGCAAGTCTACTCGGGCTCGTGAGAGGTTCAGCAAGGAAATCCCATGGGTTGTGCTCAAAATTATGGGCCTTTTTTGGTTTGTATTATAGTACGGCACCTGATGTTTAGGGGTGCCAAAAGGGGACTCTAATTTTGGGAACTACCCACATGATTGCAACGTGGAGGCACTGGTGCCAGCAGATCATGATAACGCTGAGGCAGTGAGAGAGTACTTGGCGAGGGCAGGTAGTGGCAAGATCTGCTGCCTGCTGAAGCCATGAAAGCTGCTTTTCAATTTAGGTTTAGGGTTTAGGGTTCAATAAGCAATTTCATCCCTGAATGAACCCACCCCCCATTATCACATGTCCTTCGCCACCCATCTGAGCTGCGAAAGAACGCACTCACCCCAATCTCCCTAGATACATGTTTGTGTTTGTATACTGCTGATAATGGTACGAGGTACCTTGCAAGAATCACAACAGAGATACTTCAAAAGCATTAACAGCTTCCGTAATAACGACACCACCTATACTTTCCGTAGGAACAACACTATACAAACCCTAACCCTTGACCCCAAACTTTAAAACCTTAGCCAAGTTGAAAAATGCCTCTCTTCTTACTAGTTTCCAATATGGAATGCAGGAACTCATGCCTAGAGTAGCCCTAGACAATCCTCAGTAATCTTGGTTAGCCTTTAGAGACCCTTGAAAAATGTTAGTATAGATGGGTCCCTATAAAACCAAAAAGGGAAAATATTTGAGGAACCCAAAGGCCTAGGGTAATACTTGTACTTTCCATTTTCTTTTCCATTCGCTACAAGCCACAAAGCCTGAACCTCAGAGTTTGCCTTTTCGGTCACCCTAAGCCCTTAACCTCATGGTAGCTTCCGTGTTCTTATCCCGTCCTTCATTCCTACCATCAACTTCAGCAGGTCTGCAATATCCCTGATACACCCTGTATCAACACCTTCCATGCGCTTTCCATATCCTAAACCCTCTCCCTGATGAAATCCTACTTGAGGGCTCAGAGGGACCTAGTCCTAGGTTTATCATTTATAATTTATGATGAGGAGAAATCCCTAAACCCTAAACCCTCCAAGTATACTAGCTTCCATAACCTCTCTTCGCCGAGGCGCTGGGTGTCCTCTAAGCTTCCAATGCAGGGTTTTCCACCCAGCTGCTTCTGAACCTCTTGGATCTAAGGATTAGGCTTCCGTGGGCTGTTGTTCAGGAACTTCTTTAAATTAACCACAATAAGGAAATCCCCTTATGTACCATATACCCTAAACCCTGAACCCTACATCCTAGGAAAGCTTAATGATTTACAGGTAGTTTCCCAAAATAGGGGGACCGCAATATAGACCCTAAAATACTACAATCCTTATTATAGGAACCCCCCCAAAAGGTACGCCCAATTCTGGGAAACTCCCAAATTCCTGAACAGCAACCCAGTTAAAGGTCTTAGGGCTCTGGCAGATGGCGGCTGCCTCTAAACCCTAAACCCAGATGAGCCAGTCTTAACTCATTCAGAACTGCTTAAAGGTTTTCTGTTTAGGGCTTAGCTTTCAGGGTTTAGGATTTAGGGTTTAGGGTCTAAACTCCTTTTTCTGAAGCTTCTATAGGGGACTAGTATAAGGGTGATTAAGAGGGATACGAGGAATTTAGACTATAGCTCACATGCGGCTTTAGGGGCGCAGCTTCAGTTTTTGCTCTTTCTTGTTTCCGCATAGCATCTGGGCCTAATCTAGGGAACCCTAAACTCCTAAACCCTGAACCCCTAAACCCTAAACCCTAGAAAGTTTAGGGTTTAGGGGTTTGGGTCTTCAGGGCCAGTCCATCAGGGTCCTAGGGTTGGAGTCCACGACAGTCCTCGAAAGTTTTCCACCCGAAGACCCACAGCTGAGAATGCGGGGATCCTCCCTGTAAACCCTAGTTAAAACATGTAACATCCCCCCTCTATTACATCAAGCTAGGGGTCCCGTTTAAAAAACTCTCATGATCTTGCACCATGCCAGGCACAGTTTCCTGTATTCCAACCATCTAGAAATGCCTTGCGCGCGTTTCATTTCATGATCGCAGAACCGAAAAGGCAGGATTAATCCATGATAAATATGGAACTTGAGCAATGCACGCCACAAAGTAAGGTCTTCAACTCATTTGAGTGGTTGTCAAAATTATGGGCCCTTTTTGGATCCCTGTTATAATACGGCAACTAATATTTAGGGTACCCAAAAAGGGACCATAATTTTGACAACCACACATTTGTAAGTTCGAAGGACCGGGTGTCGGGGTTCTGGTTCCGAAGCTCTGGGGCTGGGAAGTGCAGCTCAAGATTTGGGGTTGAGGGTAATGTTAGGGTTATATTCCAGGACCCTCCTTGTACCTTTAATTGGGCATATATGGTCCCTAATAGTAGGTACTTAGGCCCTAATAGAGGGTGGGAGGAGGGTCTAGGTTGAGGTTATATTGAGATAATGAAAATAAAATGGAAATTACTACTGTTGATGGAGGAAATCTTGCCCCACCTAGGGCCCCTAAACTACTGTAATTCCTAGCGGTTTAGGGACTTAAGGTGGTGCAAGACTTCCTCCATCAACAGTATGTAGGGCTTGAGCAGAGTTTC